GTAACGTACCCAAAGTTGAAGGGTCTATGCTCTGGGTTTGATGCGTTGGTAGGCACGAAAGATTCTAAATGGACATGACTAGGCAGAGTTGAACTTAAGGAATTCATAGACTTGACAAATCTTGACCTAGTTAGATCCGTTTAGCCTGACAATACGATGCTTGGATAGGTTGAGTAGGGAGATATATATGGGAATCTACTGGTCACATTAAAGAACCTGTACTTGGAACCGTGGATTAACTTTTCCTCGATGTGCGGATTATGTCCTTAATCCCGGTATTGATGGGGTGACTGGTGAATTCCGATAAGTTAGGTCTGTAGAAAATTGTTTTCTTTCTCTATCTGTCTGTTAGTCATATGTTACCTCCTCTGCGTGACTCAAAATCCGACCTGGACTGTAGCATATGCAATTCTACTTCTCTGCATCTTCTATCTATGCAATTCTTTCTATCTGTTAGCCATATACTGTCTCCTCTGCGTGACTCACAATCCGACCTGGTACACAGTATATGCACCATTCTACTTCTCAATCCCTCTAAAACTTCAGTTAGTCATATGTTCCACCCTCTGCGTGATTTGAAGAGATCCGACCTGGGTGTATAGCATATGCATTCTAAATCTATCTTCTCTCTTAATGATTGTCTGCTCACCCGATGTAAGGAGTATTCTGGAAGTCCTTGATTACCGGAGCATATCAGGAAGCAGGAAACATGTTCTAGTACAATTAAAAATTAAACACTTACAGATTGTCTGTAGATCTCGCTGCTTAATTTAGGTGGACAACAATATCTTTGGTCGTCGTCAGCTGAATGGTCCTTAAGAAATATTATCTGGGAACTTAGGATCACCTTGTCTTGTCACGTATAGTATGTCCTAATTTTGTCACAATCTCTCGTGTTTAAGTGGACCACAATACCGGCGATTGACCAGATCTATTTATGAAGGGAGAGGTACTGATAAACGGATAAAGGTTGTCTAAAAACTTTGATCCCAAATCACTCTTAAAGTTAGATATCATTTTTATTTTTTGTTAAATTTGTTCATAGTTTTCTTCTAATTTAAATATTAGGGAAGAATTAAAAATTTTAAAAACCAAACAAAAATCATAAAATAAAAAATCCAAAAATAGTGTTATTTCTGTTTTATTTCTTTTTCAGAAAATATGAAAAATCCAAAATATTGGTGTGCTAAAATTTCTTTTAGTTTTGTTTTGTCTTGAAAAGTGAATTCAGGTGAAGATGAAACTCATGGAAGTTTGTGTCGAAGATTTCTGAGCCAAGGCTTCATCCGTGATCATCGAAGAATTCACATTCGAAGGAGCAAGAAATGAAGATTATTCTTTCGACATTCAATCCTTCAACCCCAGAAGCAAGGTGAAGCTAAAATTGAAGATTATGTGACAGATTGCATTGAAGCCTCCTCAATCAGTTCGCTGCTATCTTGAACCTGCTGAAGTGATCCAGAAGATTTGTTCTCTCTAATGTTCTCTCTGAAGATTCTCAAGCTGAAAGCGCTATCTTTCAAGAATCAGTACGTCAAGCCTCCTCACCCAATGCGCGTTCAATGTCAAATTCTGAAGAAAAGCCCAACTGCTCAAGATGAAGTCATTCATTGAAGATTCATCAAGTTCATCTTGAAGTTGTGAAGAATTTGAAGATTAAAGTTGAAACCAAAGCTCCCAATGAAGATTAACAAGAAAAGTCAGCTACTTTTTAGGGGGAGCTTGTTGGGTCATTTAAGAAAAGAAAAGAAAGCTATAAACCAAGGGGGAGATTGTTGGGTCAAAAATATGGTTTATACTTTGCTTTTCTAAGCATTTATTGTTTTTATTATTTGGGCCAAAAATAGTATAGGATTAATTGTAGCTTGGACCGAGTATTGGACTATTTGTATTTTGGGCTTGGCCTTAGGTCCATATATATAGGGTGAGGAGTGCATGTGAAGGATGAACACTAGAGGAGTTTAAGTGTGTGCATTTGAAGGTGTTCTAGAGAGAGAAACTAGAGAAAAGAGAGTGTGTGTAAGTGTGTGTGAATCTCATGTAAAGGATCATCATTCTATTCATTAATACATTGAGATTCATATTATTCTTCTTCTCATTCTCTTCTATTTGATCTGACATCATCTGTTTGATTGGGATTCCGCACCATCAAACGGATCTGATTGATACACAAGCAAATTTAGGGACCTACATAAACATAGATGTTGTGTAACCATAAACCTTAGTGGTACTTTCTGAGAGTCTCAAGGGTTACGTTTATGAACACGAAATTGATGGAGAAAATGTAGAGTGGTTACGAAGAATAAAGTGTACCTCTGCTATAAATGAATTACAAAGCAGTCAACTCTTAACTCAATGTGAGAAGAGTAAGGTAGCTCAATGACTTATGTGAATGAATAGCCTGATTGGGAAGAAACGATCGGAATGAAAGTTTCATTAAGGCTTCAAAGATAGAGTCTCGGAGGCTTGTGACAACATGCAATATCATGCTTCTAGGGACACTTAGCTAGGACAAAATTTCAGAATTATACCTGCCCCATCGTTCTGAATTGAGGTAATAATGAATATTAACCTGAGAAAAGAACGATAGTTTCTTAAAAACAAGATGTTTTTGGTATTTTGAATTTTGAAAAGAAAATACAGTAACAAATAAAATATTTTTGTATTTTTGATTTTTCTGAAAATAAAGAAAAATATTTTTGAGATTTTTGATTTTCTGAAAAAGATAAAACTGAAATAAATAAATAAATATATTTTTGAGATTTTTGATTTTCTGAAAAAGATAAAACAGAAAAAAAAATAAAGAAAAATATTTTTGAGATTTTTGATTTTCTGAAAAAGATAAGCATATCCTACTTCGATGAAGTCCATATAGTCTATATCATTAGTTATTACCCTCAATCCATCAGGGAACTCCACATCGGGCATGCAAAAGTAAACATTGATGCATACCTCATTAGCGAATCTTTAAATGAACCCCACAAACTCGTTCTTGTCCATTCCAGCAAAATCGACATCATCGAACCTTTCATATGCACCATCTGAGTAACAAATAGCGGGGTACCTCGTAAAAATTTCGGCAAAATGGAGATCTATCTTCATGTAGACAACCATATGATTGATTATGTTGGCCAATTTGAGCGAGGAGGAGTTTAAGAAACGGATTCGTGTCAATCACGGTTTGAAAAAGGTAGCAGAATAAATGAAAGGGACAGTTGAGAGGGTTTAAACAGATATCAAGTTTCATTTAGTAACATAACACGTGGCAATGACCTAGCATATTTAATCTACTTGGCAATGAGGTGGAATAAAACAACGTCCTAGTCGGATGAGTGTGACCGGTTGCACCATTCAAATCTATAAATGTGACATTTTAAACCATAAAATCACAAGTATAAGCCCTTTAAAAGCAAAAAATAGTCACGAGGAACCATTTAAACCAATATACGAAAGATGGTTGGGCTACAATGACAATAACCCTTTTTTTCTTGCCAAAGATATTAGGATAGTTCACTTCAATTATTTAAGATAGGTCATAAATTTAATAATATATTACTTGTTTATATATATATATAGATAGATATATATATATATATATATATATATATATATATATATATATATCTGAAAAGTGAATATACCCTTAAGGGTATATAAGCTTAGGTACCCAAACTCACTATACTACGTCGTTTTGTATCATATATACATTGTAATTGTCTAATGTTCTTATAATTCAACTTCTAACTTGATTTACTTCCAAGATTTTTATAAATTTCACATATATCTTCCTCTTACATAATTTTTATTTTCAAATATAATATATATACCCTAGTAGGTGTTCAGCAAAAAATGTGTTGTAAGAGAAAAATAATAGTGAAATTTTGAAAATCTTGAAAATAAATCAAGTTAGTGGTTGAAGTTTAAGTACATTATAATGAATATATCAAACAAAACGACGTATTATGTTGAGTTTGGGTACCTAAGCTTATATACCCTTAAGGGTATATTCACTTTTCCAATATATATATATATATATATATATATATATATATATATATATAATATATATATGATATATATATATATATATATAAAGAAGGTGTGTCAAGTGACCCACCTTGGTTATATGTATATTCGCCACTGCTGAAACCTAACTGATCATACTTAGAAAAGGTCCATGATGCAGTGGCGGATCCATGATTAAAGTAAAGGGGTATGCCCGACAAAAACAATCACATAATACACAATAAGAAAAAAAAAATTCCAGAAAAAAATTACACTACTGAAATTTTTTTTAGGGGTATCCCAGGCTACCCCGGGATATATACTAAATCCGCCGGTGCCGTGATGAATTTTCTTAACCCAATCGAGCATATAGCTCATTTCCCAAATTCTAATTAAAGCTCTTTCGCTTGAGATGTTGCCGGTGTTTAAACTTACTCAATCCGCATTAAGTAATGATCGTCTGAGCACATAAAGAGGCAAAAAGAGGCATAAGGATAACCGGTTACCCTTTCATTTTTTAAAAAAGAACCATTTAAACGGACAAAATTTATATTTGTTTATAAAGCCAGAAAATTAATTTAAAAATTTTCTAAACCAATTCAAGTAACTTTTTGTTACCCAATAATAACATTATCCCAAGCACATACGCCATAACATACCGCAGAAAAACAATAATAAATGTGTCCTAATCATGTGCTAATTTAATAATAACACGAAAGCAATAAAAAAATATTCATTGAATGGTGTTGTTTCTGGTAGATAGGGTGGTGGGCTGGTGGAAGGGAAGGAAGTGACAATTAAAGGCAAGAAACCGTGTATGAAAGTTAAAACTCGAAAACCTGACAGGGGCATATTGGGAAATTCATATTAAGTCGGTTTCTTGGACCTAGAGCTGCAAGTAGAATGACGGTGCAATACCTGGTATCCACTCATTTGTTGGCCCCTAGAAAGTTCCACATTGCGATCATCGAGGTTATATAATGCCGCCTCATTATCCATTTCATAAACACCAAACGCCGAACATCATTCAAGTTAATTCAGACGCCTCTTTCGGCCTCCGATTTATCACACAAACAGCTTTCCGGCAGCTGAGCTCTGTGGGAGCTCACAATTTGACTGTTAATGGCCAATATCATTCCAACACTTCTTTTACTCCTAACTTTATCAGGTACTTCATCTTCTACCATTTACTAGTTTTCAAGAAATCTTAAAATTTTGATTCTGGGTTTTAAATAAAATGTGGGATTTATTGATTCGTGTCTGGGTTTTTGATATATTTTGGGATTCATTGAGTTGTGCAATGTAACTATATCATATTAATTCGAAAAAATTCTGGATTTGATGCATTCTCAGGATTATTCGTTGGCACATATGCCCTTGGAGTTGGTATAAATTATGGACAAATAGCGAACAATCTCCCACCGGCATCACACGTCTCAGTCCTCCTAAAATCTTTAAACATCAGTCGAGTTAAACTCTACGATGCCGATCCTAAAGTGTTAAGTTCTTTCGCGAATTCCAATGTCGAATTCATCATAGGATTAGGAAACGAGTATCTTCCAAGAATGCAAGATCCTCAAGAAGCTCAAATGTGGATTCAGCAAAACGTACAACCTTATCTTTCCCAAACCAGGATCACTTGTATTACCGTAGGTAATGAGATCTTAGGAGGACAAGATATTCAATTAGCACCATATCTCTATCCAGCCATGCAAAGCATGTACAATGCGTTGGTTAATCTTGGATTACACCAACAAGTTTACGTGACCACAGCTCATTCCCTTCAAATCCTAGCAACATCTTTCCCACCTTCCCAAGGGGCATTTCGGGAAGATTTGATCCAATATATACAACCAATTCTTACCTTCCATGCTCAAACCAATTCACCTTTCTTGATCAATGTGTACCCTTACTTTGCATACAAGAACGACCCCAACAATGTACCTTTAGAATACGTTCTTTTTGAACCGAATCCCGGGGCAATTGATCCAAACACAAACTTGAAGTATGATAATATGTTGTATGCTCAAATTGATGCGGTTTATTCGGCTATAAAGGCATTGAATCATGTCAATATACAAGTCCAAATCTCTGAGACTGGGTGGCCTTCGAAGGGAGATGAGAATGAATTTGGAGCTACTGTTGAAAACGCGGGGATTTACCATAAAAACTTGATTCAAAGAATGCAACAACGACAAGGAACACCGGCGAACCCTACACAACCTATTGACATTTACGTTTTTGCCCTTTTTAATGAGAACATGAAGCCTGGCCCTACATCAGAGAGAAACTATGGATTGTATTATCCTAATGGCACTCCGGTATATAACCTTGGTGTACAAGGTTACCTTCCTCGTATGCATTTTTCGGCTTCTATGAAAAATGTAAGAAAACGATCGACGCTCTTTTCCTTGTGTTACTCTCGTGGTTTAAGTATGAATTATTGAGTTTTGATTATATTTTTTTTAACTTGTGTTTTTGTAGGGATTGTCTATCTTCAACCTTCTCTTATTGCTCATTGGATACTTAATCTTTGGCTAAAGATAGAGAACTTGACTAACATTTAGTTTAAAGAATGCATGGGGAGCGCAATATTAGAGGTAATGTATTTCTTGAATTCTACTCCTTTCAACTATCTATTTCAAGGGTATATCTGTCATTCTAGTGCTTTTCTTTTCAACTATCTATTTCAAGGGTATACCTGTCATTCTAGTGCTTTTCCTTCACCATAATTGTCATATCATATCTTCAAGGATTTCTTATGATTGTAATGTGCCAAAGATAGCCACTATCTTATGTCCCCTCAGTAGAAACTGCATGAAAGATTCATATCATGTGCAAAGCATGAAAGTTGTCACTTTCTCCTTTTCTTGTAAGGGTTATATATATACAGTGTGGGCTACTCTTTCGTCAAGTTGGGCGTCTTTTAATTTAAAAATATAAAGTTTAACTTTTTAAAAAACCTGACCTAACTTTTATTGGATGGTTTGTAATTGGAACAAGTCAAAACGGCAGTCGTTTCGTTGGTCATCACCACATGTCATGTTATTATTAAATGCCTAATGCCAAATTGCACCAAGTTATTTATTGTTTAATGGTGATTTTGGGTCAACTTATCTTGTCTATTGTTACAAGTTAGTTTTTGAGTGATGAATTAGTGTTGTTTACATATGGACTTTTCAAATATGGTGGTTAAATCTATACCTTTACTTGTGTTATTCTATGAATCTAACGATCACGTCACATATGATTTTGCAGATAGAGTCGATAACTGGATAAGCCTTCACTTTAGTGACATCCGCCTTTTAAGACTACTTGACCCCTCATTGTAGGCTGTAGCCGTGGTGATAACTTATCAAGAAATTAAAGCCGCATTTCTTTGTTAATTTATATACATAGGAGATTCTTCAAAAGATAGTACTAGCTTAGAAAGTTATAATGATTTTGATCATAAATTTGGTAGATTTTATTGTATATATTGATGAAGTTAATTGAGATCAGTAATATGTGATTCTTGTAGTTGTATGTAAGAATTTGTATTCCGAGACAAGAAAATAACATAAAGACTTGAGTGGTTTAATTTATATTTGAATCCCATATTTATTTATATTACAGCTCTATAAATATCGTAGTAGTAAGATTAAAAAGAATCATATTGTGATAGTTTAAAATTTGCAACTACTGTTGACACTTAATTAATATAAGTATTCTGTAAATTTTCTATAGTAAATTTATGAGCAAATTAATAATTATTATAGTTGTTATTTGTTATACTTATAGCGATTTATGTTTTGTTTAATATTATATATTGATCCTCTTATTATTATTATTACTATTACTATATTATATTAATAGACATGATCATTAGGAATAGAATATTTTGTATGTTTTAAGATTTTGCAACCATACATTTTATAGTTTGACATTTTTAATCAATATTTTATATGTTTCAAGATTTTGCTACAATACTTTGTATAACAATTTAGTCTCTAATATGTTGTAATTAGAGATTGTCCTATGTCTTTTAATATTTGTCATTTTAAGTCCCATTATTTTGTATGTTTCAACATTTTGCCACAATATTTTATATAATTTGACAATTTTAATCCCTGATATGTTGTAATTAGAGATTGGCCACATATTTATTAATATTTGTCACTTTAAGTCCCTTTGACCATTTTGGCCTTCTTTTTGTCCCTTTTTTCGTCTTACTACTTCTATTTCATTACAAATTTGCCACACGTGTTTTAATATTTCTCATTTTCAGTCCCTTTGACCATTTTCTACCTTCATTTTGTCCATTTTTCATTTATCGATTTGTGCTTCTGTTTTGGGCTTCATTTTGTCATCTTTTTCTCATCGTTATTCTTTGTGAATAAAACAAAACGTATCTCATTGCCACAAAGGTGACCTGTGGTTCACCACGGGCTCATCCACTAGTTTATTATTATTTATCAACCAATTCAAATCATTTTATTATATTAATGAAGCATATTGACTTATTGTTTTACTATTTATTAACTGCTTAATATTCTTCGACCATTTTATTTATGGTGTTACATTTTTTCTCAACATTTTCAATCCATCATCCTTAGTCATATTTTATGTTTAATCTTCTTTTTTCATTAACTAACATAATATTTTAAATACTAATATATATATATATATATATATATATATATATATATATATTCCTTCTTTCACCTCTTCTTCCCGCCTCGACCTTACACCTGCCGCTGCCGCACCGTTGTGAAGACTTCTTCCTCGTCTTCAATCAGCCGTCGTGACAATCTCTCATCCTTCCACATATGCATGTTTAACTATGGAGTTCTTATGAGGTCTTCTGTTCTCATAGCTTTAAAACAAGTTGTGACATGGAATGTATCCACACCCTTTATAAGGAAATGCTTATTTCTCTTCCCCAATCAATGTGGGATTAGGGGTCACTCCCTCATTAGAACGGGGGATATATGTCTGATCCCACATCGATTGAGAAGTAAAACTAACCATCTACTTATAAGGGTGTTGATACATTCTCTATCACAACATGTTTTAAAGTCGTAAGGATAATAAATCACAAAAAACTATGTAGTTAAGTGTGCCCATGTCGGATGATGGGTGACCTCCCTAGTAAGTTTCCTACAAGGTGGCCTAGAGTATAAAATATTATGGTACTTGGTATCAGATACTAGGAACGATGTGTTTGACAAGGATGTTGAACCTTGTAGTGCAGGGTGAACGGGGGAGTGGTCTCCAATCCTATATCAATTTGGAAGGAAAACTAAGCATCTCGTACCCATGTTATATGTGGATTTTGACTTTTGTAAATCACATTTTCTATACGAATTGCAAACCAGTTATCCCACACATCATTGTTTCGTTTTGGTCCTTTATACAATTTTCTTTTTATAGTTTTCGTTTTTATTAATTGGAACTAGTTTAAATGTGACATTAAATACTAGTTTATAATAAATTATAAAAAATTGATTAAATCTAAAGATATTTAATTATTTAATTTTAAAGGAACGAAAACGATTGTGTTTATCAAATATTATAGGGAAATTGAGTAATCTAACCCTTATAAACGACTATTTTAATAAAAATAACCAACAATTTTTTTTTTTTTGGAAAATTGACCACATGATTTGGAATATCATATTCCGGAGCACGTAGTTTTGTTCCGGACTTGTGATCCGAAATACGAAATTCCAGAGTATTTATGATCTTGTTTCGGATTGGGTGCCGGTTGGTGGGAATTTGGTTCGGAATTTGACACTCCATACGTTCCGAACTGAAAAAGTATATTCCGGACTAAAGTCTGAAACAGCTGTACATTATGGAGTGTTATTCCAGAGAGTTAGAATTAGGGTTTTTGTGTGTTTTTGTGTGTTTTTGTTCTAAACATGCAATACATTTGTGTGTTTAATATATTTGTGTGTTCGATACTTTCCATAAACGTTCCAGAATTAGTATGTATACAAATTTTTTTCGAGTTCCAGTTTCTAGTGGAGGGCAATGGCAGCGTATCGACGGATGTATATAATATCTTGCTCCAACTTACACATGTTTTGGTGTAGATATAAGCAATGATATCAACTTCGTTGGGTTAGTTACGTTGGTTGCTTCCAAGTCCAGGTTACACACTAATCAAAATTCGTCTATCTTTTCAATGTCCTAGATCAAATATAGTTATGCAGATTCTTGACGATAGTGATGTTAGATATTTTCTTAGTTTTGTTACTACTATGCCTACCAACACAATATAATTTGTTTGTTGTAATAATGTTATGGAAAGTGGTACTAATCGATTTCCCGAGGAAAATCATTCTGGAAATGGTTCTTCCGGTGTTGGAAGTAACCAAATTTGTAATTTATTACCTATGACAACCAACCATGTTCCTTCTTAAAATAACCCTATACATGGGGTGATTATAGGTCTAAAGGTAAGTTTGTTGTTCACGCTAACCTTACTCTTGATGTTGATGAATCTGCGAATGATAAGGCAAAACTAATGATGTTGGTTGATGATGGTAATATAATTCCACATTGGGAGCCAGTTGAACATTTTCAGAGTTACACTGAATTTGATGGGGATGATCATGAAGATGGAGAGGAGGAAACTGATCCTTTGCAACCCCAAAAAGCATAACAGGAAAAGTTTCCTTTTTATTTTTCTGATTCTGAAGAAACACAACCCACCCATTGGGGTATGCCTGAACCTTTAACACTGCCCGAATTAACTCAACAAAATCGTAAAGGGGCCACAACACACATTATAATTTCCATCTGAAGTTATACCAAATCTTCAAAAACAAAGAAGCACTTAAGCTTAATTTAGGATTGAAAAGTGTTAGTGAAGGTTTCTAATATAAAGTGAAAAAATCCACAAAAGACAGGTTTGAAGTTGTTTGTTATATGGATAACTATGACTGGCGAATTAGGGCAACAAAACATAATACTACTGATACATTTCAAGTGGTTAAACTATCAGAGAAACACACTTGATTAAACACATAGCTATGTCCCCATCAACGACAAACCAACAAAAAGGTATTTGATCACTTCTTTAAGGGCATATTAGCTGGTACAATACAATGAACTTTAAATGACCATCTTTGTGTACATATTTCATACTGACAAGCATGGAATGCTAAAATGTATGCTCTAAATCTATTGAGATGGACCCCTGAAGAAAGCTTTCAAAGACTACCTTTATATTGTTACAACTTGGAGAAGAAGAATCCACAGACGGTTACACATATAAAGACGAGTGATGACAACAAATTTGAATACTTTTTCATGGCTATCGGTTGCATGGTAATATATTTTGTATATCGAATTCTTTATATTTAATGTCCATACACATGTGTTCACTTTAATTAGATTATTAATTACATTTTAGGTTCGAGCGTTTCAAAGATGTTTGTGCCCTATTATTATCATTGACGACACACACCTTAAAGGGGGATACTTGGGCACCATGTTCCTAGCAGTAGGCATGGATGGTAATAAACAAATCCTCCTTATTGCATTTGGTGTTGGGAAAAATAAAAGTGGAGAGTCAAGGATTTGGTTTTTATCAAGACTCAAAGAATGTCTTGCGGACATGCCATCTTTGGCTATCATATCAGATAGAGCCAATTCAATTGAAATGACCATTCAAGCCGTGTTCTCGAATACATATCATAGATTCTGTTGTTGCCATTTGTTGATGAATATGAGAGAAACGGTTGGCAAGCAAGAGAGAACATAAATTTCATTTTGGGAGGCTAGAAAGGCTTACCGAGATTAAATCTTGGGTAGGCTACGTCGTACACAAAATGATGATTGTCAGACATGGGTAGACAGAATCGGTAACGAGATACAAGCAATGTCGTGTTTCCCTGTGGTTCGGTACAATATTGTGACATCAAATTGTGTCGAGTCCGTCAATGCATTATCAAGAGATGCACGAAAACTACTGATAACAATGTTGATTGATTCCTTTCGAGCAACTATGCAACAATGGTGGTGCCAACGACGAATATTGGAGGTAAGTGTTTCCCTATATTGTAATATTTCGATGATAATTGTAGTGTAATTTACTGTGCATGACAACATATACATAAATGTTTGTTATAGCTGGAAGCAAAAAAGATGTTACTGAGTATGTTGAGAAGGTCATCGACAGGAGGATCAACAAATCCTCTACTTTTTGGGTATACCAGATTGATCAAAGTAGATATGAGGTGACTGACCAAATGAAAAATGGTATAGTAAACTTGGAAAGTCGTTACTACACATGTGGAAAATGGAAATTGTCGGGTATACCTTGTACTCATGCTATGACGGTATTCAAGGAACTGAGATATCAACACTACAGTGCATGAGTGTCATCGTACTTTACAATGGAAACATATCTATCAACATATGTAGAGGTTGTGTTTCCTATGCCAGTTCCAGCTGAATACGAAGAGCTGGATGAATTCATGGTTGTTTTGCCACCATTGATGGACAAACT